TCTTTCGAGGAATAAATCTAAACCATTTAAAGTAGGATATAGTTGAACTCACAAATAAAGATGATAACTTACATCACACTTGGGTGCTTGGGTGAAAGCTTTACGGAAGTAGTCTTCATTAACTGCACCTGTGGAGCTTACTATAAAACATAATCTTATATATATATATATACTTCCATGTCTATATGCCGACATATATACATATATTTATATTAAAAACGAAAAAAAACCAAAAAGTGAAAAGTATCTTTCGTAGCATCTCTAGAAATTTCAACATGAAATTAAATGACATTGACTGCTTGGTGGACTTAAAGTTGCATAACACTCAATTTAAGATGTAAGATTTTGAAAACAATCGACATATCAATATCTTCTAGATGTTAAATTGGCTGATAAACATGGACACAACAACGTTCACAACAAAGTCACCACACAAGTAGAACATCTGATAGACAGAACGGGCAACTATTCGAAAACCATAGCGATGAATCCCTACTGGTTTATAAATTATGACCTCGTAATAGTAGAGAATTCAAAAGATAAAAGAAGAACAAACCAGAATTTTCGGCGGTGTTCGATACGCGCTTTTGCGCGGGCATGCTTGATCTGCGACTCAACATCGAAGTGAGTCGCCCTTGATTTTCCTGATCTGTTTCGCCTGGAAATCATTACTCATTAAAAAAGGTATACATATGTGAGATAATAATTCCTATCATTATTTACAAATAGAAGCTGGTTTCATACTAAACAAGTTGTTTTACTGTGAGAAATCCTACGTTGATTGAAACGCTTTCAAAAAATCATCGAATGTTGTGAGAATTGTCACTATTCTAAATCATTCCTACAAACATAAAGAGATGAAAAGAAAATAATGAAACAAGACACAAAATACACAACGAAAAATTTTCCTCAAAGAGGCTTAGTCAATGATATCTACTATCTAATATGGACTCAGAAATAGTCGTAAAGGAATAATCATATTAAATCATAAAACCGATGACGAAAATAACAGAACTTTATCAGCTTATTGAATATCCATCATAATTAGCAACGTCATAGACAACAGAACGCGTATTGCCTATATGAGCTATGTCATATACCGTTGGCCCACAAACGTACATTTTTACATGATCTTTATCGATCGGTATAAAGGGCTCTTTCTTTTTGTTAAGGTGTTATAGAGCCTAACCATACACAAAACTTCTAAGAAAGAAAATGCTCCAAGTACGAGCTGTGGCCCTTTAACTATTAAAATAATGGTAAGTAACAACCCACATAAAGATACTAATGCTCCCAGCATAGAGAGAAGTCTATCTTTACTCGTAATAACAAGTGAAATGAGAGTTATGCCAATTGCGGGAATGAAGTTAGTTAAGGGCAGTGGAATGGCTATCGATAATGCACAAAGCAGCATTATGAAAACTAAAACCTTTTCACCTGGCACACAGAAAATAGAAGACATTCTCGGTTTCATAAATTTTTCTGTTTGTCTTAAAGCAGGAGAAGTTTTTTCTACCACAAAAGCTAGTGTTGAACGCTGAAAAGACTTTCTTTCTAACCAGTGAGGCACCCAAGGAGAATCAAAACTCAACATAAGCTGTGGTGAGAATAGGACTATTGGTATAGAAAGCATAGTTGTATAGCCAGGTGGAACTCGTATAGGTACTGACAGTGGCAAAGAAAAGATAATTATCAAAATACCAAAACCGCGCTCACGCAAAGCTATTTTAATGTCAAACAGTGTTACTTTATCACTATCAGCGTTGTTGGTGCCCATAACCTCTTTTAGAATATCAGAAGCTAATTTTTTATTTTCGGCTAACTTCTTACTTTTTTGCACAATTATCTTTTAACAAAATGATTCCCTATAACTAACATAATTACTGCAGTATTTCAATATATTCTTTAGCTAGTTCAAGTTTTTAAACAAATGACACGTACTAAAGTACGTGTCACAAAGTATGAAGACGCTAACGATCTGGCTCGTTAGATGATAGTTTCTCTGAGTCCTTGAGTTCTTGTTTAAGGTTTTTAATACCTTTTTCTAGATCACCCATAACCCGTGGTAATCTACATGCACCAAACAAAACTATGATTATTATTAAGACGAGAAACAATTGCCGTGGTCCTAAACTCATTTGTACTCCCATTTAAAATATTAACTTTTAAGAAACTGGAACCTGACTAAAGTCAAGTAACGCATGAATTATATCACCTTATTTAGTTATAGATCAAAATTTTTCAGTATTTGGTTCTATTTCATCATAATTACGACCAGATTATTTCTTTGCAGTAAACATACCATCAAACGGAAGTTCATCACATAACTGTAAGGTAGAAGAGAACTCGCTAAAGAACTTTGCTAGCGTATGATCTTTAAAACTATATATCACTGGAAACTCCTGATTGGATAATTTTACCGCTTTTCATTACATAGATAAAATCTGCAATTTTTAACACTTCTTGTGGATTATGAGTTACTATTAACACAGGAGTATTTTTATTTCTGAAAAAGGTCAATATATGACGTCTTATTTGGCACTTTGACAGCATATCTAAGTTAGAAAATGGCTCACCGAGTAACACAATATCAAGATTTTGTGCCACTACTCTTGCTATTACTACTATTACATAAGAATGCTTATGCTACGCACATGGCAGCTTTGCTTGGTGCTAATATAATAAAAGTAAAACTCCCTACTAACCAATTATAAAAAGAAAAATAGAAGTAGGAAATATTGAATCGTTATCTAAAAGAATTGAATATATCAAGAAATCTTGCTTTGAAGGAAAAAGAATAGCAGTTTTTTTCTGGTGGCGAGTCGAAGTCAATGAATGATATACGCAATGAAGCAAAAGAAAGTAAACAAGGAGGCGGTAACAGTTCAATCATTGGGCGTAATACCTTTCAACGAAAAAGAGAAGAAGCCTTATCTATGCTTAAAGATATTATGCACATCTACATGTAAAAAACGGCTGGGTGGCAGAATGGTTTATACGGAGGACTGCAAATCCTTCTATACCGGTTCAATCCCGGTTCAACCTTTGCCGTTACTTTTATACCACAGTAATGAAGCTCACCTTTAGTCTATGCAGGTAAAACGACGAAAAGCTCAACGTATTCTTTCTCCGCTATTTTTACCAAGCCCGTTCCCTTGGCTGTGGTTTCGCTAGATAGTAGTTAGTGACAGTGGGAATCTCGTTAATCCATTCATGCGCGTCAGTAGTTAGCTGACGAGGCATTTGGCTACCTTAAGAGAGTCATAGTTACTACCGCCGTTTACCCGCGCTTACTCGAATTACTACGATTTAACATTCAGAGCACTGGGCAGAAATCAGAGACAGTAAACCTTCGCAAGAATCATCTGTCTCCTCTGTTTTAATTAGACAGTCGGATTCCCCGAGTACGTACCAGTTCCATTTCTACCGTTACAATGGTCGATCAGGATACTTAATTCGAAAACAGAGCACACACCTATAAACGTCTGCAAGACGGTCTTATCACTAGTCCAACATCATCAAATATACGTACACGTATACACGTATACATAACGTTGGCCTATCGATCCTTTTAATCCAGATAGTTTCTGGTAAGAGGTGTCAGAAAAGTTACCACAGGGATAACTGGCTTGTGGCAGCCAAGCGTCCATAGCGACGTTGCTTTTTGATCCTTCGATGTCGGCTCTTCCTATCATTGCGAAGCAGAATTCGCCAAGCGTTGGATTGTTCACCCACTAATAGGGAACGTGAGCTGGGTTTAGACCGTCGTGAGACAGGTTAGTTTTACCCTACTGTTGACTAATTGTTGCGATAGTAATCCTGCTTAGTACGAGAGGAACAGCAGGTTCAAACATTTGGTTCATGGACTTGATCGATCGATCAATGGTCCGAAGCTAACATTCGATGGATTATGACTGAACGCCTCTAAGTCAGAATCCAACCTAGTCAAGGCAACGATAACTTTGTTTTCCGGTGTTGGGAGGCAAGAATATTTTATATACGTATATAAAAGTATATGCCCTAATATATGGCTATTTTAATACGTAATAAATTCGCGTATCAATTGCTAAAGCCAGATCATTCTGGTTCAATGTCGGGGCGCAAAATCACATGTTTACGACATGTATGCTGGTCAAGGTGTTGTAACCAGTAGAGCAGTGTTTGTATACTGCGATCTGTTGAGACTATCCTATGATCGGGTGTTTTGTTTTGTCAATATCGATATTAATCCATATACTCTAAACATTTATAAAAGATAGTTTTTTTTTATTCATATAAATGAAAATTTTTTGATATCTATTATGTTTGATGTTGTGTTCTGTTGTAAGGTTTAGATAGAACATATCGTTAATTAAACGTTTTTTGTTTTGTGTATCTAAACGTGCTTCGATGCTATGTGTTTTCTAGGTGTTGCAGTGTGAACAATGTTAACGTGAATTGCCAGCGTTGTTGTTGTTCGGCGGCAACGGGTTGGTTATCTGTGATGTTACATATGATGAGTAGTCGAACGTTGTGTTCGATGTTCGATGTTCGATGTTTGATGTTTAAGTGAACGGGCGTCGACGATAATACGCGTTGTGGTGCATTGATGCTGGCGAGGGCGAGCGTCAGTAATGGCGGCGCTATCGTTCACATCGTCATGTCGAGTCAATGCGATTGACTCGATGTTACGATGGTGGTAAGAGGCGGTAGCGCGTTGGTGCACGTCGTTATTGTGCGATGTCGATGCGTGCGCTATCTCAACTACATGCTAGTTGAGATGCAATTGTAACGTGAAGAAAAAAAGAAAAAAAATCGTTGTTGCTATAACGATCGTTGTTATACTCAACGATTTATGATGCAAAAAATATGCATCCGTGTCAATCTGATACAGATACCTGATTGATTCTGTCAGCGCTATTTGCTCAGTTAAAAGATTAAGCCATGCATGTCGAGTTCAACTTTAAAGTGAAACTGCGAACGGCTCATTAGAGCAGATGTAATTTATTCGGAATTATTCGAATGGATAACTGCGGTAATTCTGGAGCTAATACATGCGATAAAACCCTGACTTTTGAAAGGATGCAATTATTAGAGCAAATCAGTGATCTTCGGATGTATAGTTTGCTGACTCTGAATAACGCAGCATGTCGGCGGCATAGTTTGCCGATATTCCGAAAAAGTGTCTGCCCTATCAACCTGATGGTAGTCTATTAGTCTACCATGGTTATTACGGGTAACGGAGAATAAGGGTTCCACTCCGGAGAGGGAGCCTTAGAAACGGCTACCACATCCAAGGAAGGCAGCAGGCGCGAAACTTATCCAATCTTGAAGAGATGAGATAGTGACTAAAAATAAAAAGACCATTCCTATGGAACGGTTATTTCAATGAGTTGATCATAAACGTTTTTTCGAGTATCGAGTGGAGG